GAACAGGACTTGATAAGAAACTCAATCTGCTCTAAGAGGAGTGAGCACTGTAAAACACAGGGTACTCAAAGGCAGCTTGCCTCAGAGAACAGGACAATGCTGTTATCAGTCATTGTATCACCCCAACACACACTGCATTAGGGGAGTGTTGAACAGGAGCTCTGCTGATTTCATTCCCTAAGCCACACCAAAAAGCATTTTTATACCCAATACCTGTGCTCTGATGCTCTTCCTGTTGTAAATAAATGCAGTCAAGGCTCACAACTACTAATGACAAATCAGGCTTTACTTTCTGCAATTTCCTTGATACCAGACAAGTTCTGAGTCTGCTAAAGGAAAAGCTCATCACAGCAAAATAACACCTTATTCTGTCATCCTTAAAAAGAAACTTCAACAGAAGTGACCCCCTTTCTTTCTGCTTAGGTTACTTCTTTCTAAAGATGTAGCAAACAGCTACAGGGAAAGTTTAGGCTGCACATTAGGCCATTATTTCTAAGATTAGCTAAACAGACTGTTTAGTTTTTTATTTTCTTCTAGACAAGCAATTTCTACAAGTTTTAAATCAAATTTTTCATGTATCCACACCAAAGTACAAAAGGAAATTTTACAATCAGGAAGGATGAGAGTTCTTTTTATTTGAAAATGAACAGCACACTCTGGTGGCCTTTTGGTTTCCAGCTGCCAACTGAAGCTCAGTGGCACAGAGCATTTCAAATCTTACTCAAACATCTACAGAGCTCTCCAAAACTAATAAAAAGTACCTCCCATCAAATGGCCTACAACACAGAGTCACTTTTTAAGGAAAATATTTAGCTCCCAGTATCTTACAGTAATCCTGTAGCTTTTGGTTTCCTCTGGTGTTACCACATCACACCCTGGCCTCTCACACCCAGCCCTCTACTGCCTCACATTCCCTCTTCTACTGCTTTTGCCTCAGCAAACATTTATGTAAAATCTATTTTCAAACAGCAAGAAATGCAGAAAATGCCTAACAAAGCTGCAGAAACAGGGGCAATCTTAACTTCTGATGTGATACTTCTGCTACAGAAAGTGGAAATAAAACCCAAAGCACTGAGGAACTCTTGCATTAGCTGCAATGTCTGCTCAAACTTCATTAAGCTGCATTTCACACATAACTCCTTCACATAAAATACTGTTTTAAATTCTTCTTGAACTAACACTCTGGTGTAAAAGATATTTCTGAATTACTCACTGTTTGGGGAGAACAAGTAGTGGTTTTCATGCTTTTTTCAGAGTGAACAATCAGCTCTCCATTTTTCCTCTGATGATAAACCTCCAGAGCATCAACCAGCTGCACTCCTTTGGCAAGGCAGTGACGTTTTCTCACCTGCTGGGGAAAGCACCGGTGGGAAAACGCCCAGGGCACAGGGATGTGCTCACTCTGGCAGCCCTGCTCCTGGTCCAGCTGAGTCTGCTTTAGTAACTGCCCATCAACAGTTTAACCAAGTCAGCCACACACAAGTCATTGAGGAAAGCAATAAAGTTTTAATTATAAAATTATTGCTGAGCTTTTCTGCTGTGCTTTCCCACTGTTACAGAACTTACAGAAATCATAATACCATCAACTGGGAATAAATGTATTTGGGGATATTACTTGTTTAAATGTGAAAGGGTTTAGGACAGGGTATAATAAACAATTTAGTGCAACAGTGGACTCCTTTGTAACAAATAACAATAAAAATGAACAAAACCCTGTCACTAAACTGTGACTGTGATGTGATTCACTCATTTCCCACACCCTCCTCTGTAGCATTAACTGGATTTGAGAGTTTGCCTGAGCTACACCCAGCTGATGGCACTGCTCACCTGCTGCTCTGTCTCTAAAGGACGAATCCTCTTCCTGTCCACCTGGAAATCATCATTCTCACTGGCATGAAGGGATAACTTCTTTTTGGCAGACAGCTTTGAAGCTAGTGTTTCACTTTCCTTACATTCTGTAATTAACAAAATCGAATGGATGTCCATTACTAGGGATGCAATAAATTAGGGCAACATTTAAAAATGTAATTACTACAGAACAGTAACTGCTAGAATTGCTATAAATTATATGGTGCAGGAAACAGTGTTAGCCATTTCTAGACAGATTGAGCACTGTATACAGATTTCATGCAGGGCAGAACCAGGGCTGCTACTATGGTGGTCAAAAACCATCCCTGGCCTAAAGCAGCAGAGTTTTACCTATAGATGAAGTTACCTGTGCTTGGCAGAGGGCTGCCAGGTCTCCTGGAAGTTCCTGGCTCAGGATAACTGGCAGAACAAGGAGCACTGGGAGTCCCACTCGCTGCAGCCTCGCTGCTCCTGGCCTGGGAGTGACACCTGCAGTGACAGGGCGGGGATGGCGCTGCCTTCCTGTCCTCCTTGTCACACGACGAGCTTGGCACTGACTTCTCTGGGGGACAAAGTCATTTATGTGTCACTAACAGCACCATGAGGATGGCAGCTCAGTGCCAGTCGAGCTGAACCAGCTGTGGTCACCTCTGCAGAGCTGCAGGGCACAGGAAGGAAACAGCTCCCTCCTCCCATCATCCACACACCCCACGAGGATTTTCCTCCATTCCCTTCTGGGACCTAAGCCCAGCCCAGCAGTCCTGCCTCCTGCTGCCATTAAGGCAAGGTACCAGTGGTGGGCCCAGACTGAAACCAAATGTTTAAGGGCTGATGAAAGCCAATAATTATTTTATATTTTGTAATAAAAGCTGTGCAGACACTCTGACACTCACCATACAAAGCCTGCTGCCATGATAGTGCAGAACAAAGTAATGCCAAGCTTTTGCCACTTCCTGTGGGGCTCTCCAGCAAACAGTGCTGCCTGTTATTCAAGCCTTTCACAATCTTCAAGGAGAAGAAAAGAAACAGAATTAACAGAAAACAAAGCAGATGTGTTTAGCTAATCTTAGCAATAATGGCCTAATGTGCAGCCTAAACTTTCCCTGGCACATCTTAAGGCTGTGCCCTCTTGTCCTGTCACTGGTGAAAACTTTATAAAAATGTTTAAATATAAATGCAATAATTCATTTAGAAAAGTTCCCCCAAAAAATGAAAATTTATTTAAATATTACTACACATAATTCTTCTGTTTAGATAATGTGATTTAATAAATCATTCCCCACCCTATAAACCTGAACATTTGTATACAACTGTAATTACAGCACAGCTGGATAATCATAAACACCCTTACACCACAAGGAACTTGTTTCTGGGCATAAATGCTCCCAAATCCAAAATGTACTTCAAAATTCCCTACCCATGACCCAGGTACTGCACAGCACAGAGAACAATGAGTGGTTACCACTGGATTCAAGATACCACAAGCTCTGAATTCAATGTGTCACCTTTCTGAATGCTGGCAGAGATTCTGGAACTCCAAATACTGGCAAACACAAGCTCTGAGCGTGGCGAATGCCAGGACAAAGGGTACTCACAGCGTTCATCATGGCCAGCTGGGAGGGGTAAGCCTTGCAGGGGAACAGGATCTTCACCCCCCCTATGGTGTACTGTGCCCCCTCAGAGGGCATGGCCAGCTTTGCTCCTGTCTGCTTCAGCTGTAACACTGCAATTCAAATACAGCACCAGTGACTCAATGCTAGCAAACAAACAATAAATAAAAACAACGTGAGCTGCACACAACAGTTCAGATTGTGTTAGACTGGAGATAGAACCCAAATCCATGCAGGAAAAGTATTTTAGAATATTAAGTGACCAAAACTAGCCAGTTTTTAACTCTAGAGGTCCATCAGCTTGAACTGCAAGATGTCATAAACAACAAACATAAAGCACCTTGTACATTTTATAACAACGAAAAATAAAACTGGACAGTGACTTTAAAAATACGATGCTTAAAAACATCTTTCTTCCACAAATAATGCAGTAATTAGCCACAGGAAAAGGAGTATCCCTCAATTTACTATTTGGTGTTTGTTACCTTGAATATCTCAGAATAATAAAGACAGACAATTTGTATTAAAAAGGTGAAATTATTGAACTAAAAATATTGAAGCATGATAAATGGCTTTAAGAGACAATATTTTTGAACACAGCGGGGTTTTTTCCTCATATTTTTTCCTCATTGATGAAGACAGCAACTTTAAACTGCCAGAATCTCTGGGATAAATTAACTCATCTGGCTTTTAATAATTAAACATATACATCAGAGAAGCACCAATTCATGGCATGATTCAGTTTCACCATCGAACTTCCCAACAGAAAAAAGCAATTCTAGCAAAAGACGACGCCTGACACGAGTTTACATCCAAACCCTCTTTCCAGAGGGAAAGGCCACCTCGCTCCAAGGATTCTACCAACCCACTCTGGGAGGGGAACTCGCTTAAACGAGCCCAGCTCCGAACTCAGTGGGCCCTGAGGGGGAGGGAGGGCCCGGGACACCGCAGGGCCCCTCTGTGGTGTGAGCAGAGCCACCAGGGGCTCCCCCAGGGACATTTGCAGCCAGGCAGACCCGCTCTGCCGCCCGAGCGCTAAGGAAGCGGTGGGGCCGCCCCAGCCCAGCCCACAGAGCAGCACCTGGGCCTTCGCTTCCTTTGTGTGCTCGGCGAGGCGGAGGCGCCGCCGCCGCTTCCCCCGCGCCCCTCACGGCCCCTCACGGCCCCGCACCTGCGGCCCCTCAGCGCCTCCGTCCTTCCCGCCTCCGCCCCAGCCAATCAGCTGACAGGAAAGAGCCGCGCGCCGCCAATCAGCACAGCGCACACTGGGGCGCTCCCGCCTTCACCTCTGCGCGCCGGCAGCCAATCACAGGGCGGTTCGTTGGCTTCCGGGTTGTAGGCGTTGCTAGGCAACCGCGCAATTTGTGATTATAAATACATAAATACTTGTTATTATTATTATTATTATTATTATTATTATTATTATTATTATTATTATTATTATTATTATTATTATTATTATTATTATTATTATTATTATTATTATTATTATTAATAATAATAATAATTATCTTTATTATTATATTATTAGTTTTAGATTTATTATGTTTTATATTTGTAAGCATTGCATATTATTATTGGGTATCATAATTATTTATCATATCACATTCTTAATTATTATTACTATTATTGTTGTTGTTAATGTTATATTTATTGTAATTATTGTTCTACATTCTATTCTATTTATACTTTTAAGCAGAGTGCACAGAAAGCACCATGGAAAAATTCATAGATTTTGGAAAATCAGTGTTTTTTTCATTACTGCCACACACAGCTCCAGTTCTTGTCTGGTGTTTCCCTCAGGTGAAATTTGGGATTAACCTGGAAACTCAAAAGCAAAACAGAAAACCCCTTGGAACTTCAGTCATATTGCTGTTGTTGTTTTTTGGGATTTTTTTATTTAAATACCACTACAGGATATAAAATTACACTTGGAACCGAGGAGAAAAAAAATACATACATTTCAATTATTTACATAATTTACATCAAGATGACAAAAATACACTCGGTAGGCAGATGGTGACGGGGGTGTCACAGCAGGAATCCTGGAACACAAACCCACGGGGCTTTCCCACATTTCCATGAGGGAATTCCAGCCTTGCACACAAAAGAACAACAAACCCATGGAGGAGCAGAAAGGATTTGGCCTTGGAATTGCTTTGGCACAGCTGAATCCTGTCCCTGCTCTCCCTGCCCCTCAGCACCCATTTCTCTTTCCAATCTTCTCCTGATGACAGCTCTGCACTCATTCCCTCAAGGCTTTTTCATCTCTTTTTTTTAAGTTAAAAACCACAAAACCATCTGAGCTGTATCCTTTAAAATCCCATTTCTATGGCTCATCTTTACTATCAGCACTTTTTTCCTTTTAAATGAACTTTTAGACCAGTTTCAAACTCTCAGTGAAGCCTGGTTGATTTTTAAGCTCCTGATTTCATGAACTGAAGCTCTGAGCAATGGTTTGACACAGAAATAAATCTTCTGATTTTCTGAGAACTCAGTGTGAAGGTGCAGGTTTTTGACACCACTTTTTCAAGTATTCCTTGGAGCATTTTATTCCAGCTTGCTCTGCAAGGCCCAGCAGCAGCAGCAGCTCATTTACCTCGAGCAAATTCCAATTTTTCTCAGCCATCATTTTGCTGTTTGCCCAAAAAAAGAAATATTTCAGCGTTCTAAAACCCTTCCAGGTGTGTTGCTGTGCCACTTCAGGAGCTGAGCAAGTCTGAAAATCACTGTTTCCCTGGAAATTATTCCCTGATCCCTTCAGCCTCAGAAGTTCTCACCAAATCCTGTTGAAGGGATTTTCTCCTCAGCCGTGACTCAATCAAGGAATGAAAATTGTGGACTTTGCTCCAGCTCCTCAGTCCACTTTCACAGCTTTTTCCAAATTTAGGCACCAGAAAGAGTGGGAAAAGCTACAGGACAACTTGCCTGGGGTTTTTTTCCCTAAATGCCACTGACACTCATGTTGATGATTTCGATGATGGTGCTCTCCACACACTGGCACAGCTGAACATCAGGGTCCAGGCTGGCAGAGTCCCTGGAGCAGCTTTTGCTGGAGGAATCTTTACAGAACCCTGAGAAATCGTGTGGCTTCTCCTTCAGCTGCTGGAGACCTGGAAAATGCAGCAGGAAAAGCAAAATAAATATTGAGAACTGTTCTTTCCAGCTATAACACAAATGGGAGATTGCAAAGCTGAGCCAGCACCATCCCATGCTCTGGTTATTACCAGAGACACCATGAAATGTGAAATACAG